ACCTTAGTGCCCTGAGGATTGACAGTCTTACTGTTTGGTTTGTTGTTTTTTTTGTTTTTTGTTTTTTGTTTTTTTTGAGTACCTGAGGTGACAAAGCATGCTGAAAGCTGGAATTTCTGAGGTTAGATTTGATCACTAGAGCTTTATGCGTCATAGCTGGGCCAGCAACTTTTGTCCCCTGGAGGGTGAGTTTGAAGGTTTTGCTGGAGGAACCAGTTAAAAGTGTGGCACATTTTCTGCTGTGTTCTGCCTCTGAGGTAGGCTGAAGGTCACAGGGGTGAAATCTGAGCGAGAGAGGAATGAGCAGGCTGGGTTGGAGGAGAAGAAGCCTACGCCTCACAAGTCCCAGTGCAAGGGTGCATGCTCGGCCTTCAGACCCTTCTAGCCTGGAGGAAGTGATGATCAAAGATTTTGACTGCTAATTACTGAGGAAGTGTCATTTGTGTAAAGAAATCCCAGCTTCCTGATGGTCATCTGAAACTTTATTTGACCTTCTGCTTTGCACGCTAAACATGGATTTTCATCCATCCAAACGGTGGATGAAAGGAGACAGCATTTTCTTTGCATTGCAAAGTGAAGACCTAATGAACAGCCCGACCCTCCCCTGATGCATCCTGAGACTGAGGCTTCCATCATCATCACTCTAACCAGCGGGCTCCCTGAGGTCGCAGCCAGCCTGCAGCTGGTCTGGCTGTCAGGATGCGCTCGCTGCCTTTCTTGTTGGGCTGTGCCCTTGCCTTTCTTGGCGGTGCTTTGGGATTTTCTCAGTCACCACAATTTGAAGAGCATAGTCGCCTTTATGTTACACAAAGGTAACAAATTCTCTGTGATGAATGTGATCATTATATATACCAAAAATGTAGCAATAAAATCTGATTAGAGTCATTCGGTTTGAAGGTCTATTCTGAGTGTTAGGTACTTGGCCCTAACTGCTGTCTAAGCCTAGAAACCAGGACAATACTTCAGTGACTGCATGGGTGTGCTGGTAACTTGTCCAGCTGTTCCAAGCATTTCATCTGCCTAATAGTGTTGCGTTTAAGAACAAAGCCTAGCAGTACTTGAAAGAATTAGAATTTAGTAAAATATAGTGTTCAGAAGAGAGGATACACTCTATAAAGAAGCATGACCAAGCTCCAAATGCATATTAACTTTGGTATTAATACAGACCTGCTGTTCACCTACCTTTTGTAAACATGAATTTCAGGATGTAAGTAAAGTTTCTTCAAAAGATAGTGTGGGAAGGGCCAGGGATTTAGCTCAGCGCACAAGCACTTGCCTGGCAAGTGCAAGGTTGTGAGTTCAATCCCCAGTACCAAAAAACAAACAAACAAACAAACATGGTGTGGGTTGGTCACCTGTGTATGAAAGAGAAGCACTGGGGCTGAAAATCCGTGTGCTGACCCACAGGAGAACCACTGTGCTGTTGAAGGGCATTCTTGTGACCCGCAGGCCCCAGAGGCTCCAGTTTGGCCAGGTTATATTGTCCTGGTGGGCCAGTGCCTCCCCCAGAGAATAGCACTTCTCCCCTGCTGAAGAAAAGCCTATGAATTAATAACTCAGTCACCAGGAATGCTAAAACGCACAACCTGGGTGCCATGTATTGTTTTCGAACAATTTTCCTGGTGGGTGGCAAGGCTGGTATTGTTCGAAAATTAGGATCCAAATGCTAGCTCATCTGTCCTCCAGCTGTTGTTTATTCACCGGTTTCCTGGAATAGTCAAGCACAAGGTCTTTCAAAAACAGTTTTGTGCTGCTGTGCATTTTGGTGGGTAATAGTTAAGTACATTATTGATTTAGTCTCTCTGCTTGCTGAGCAAGATGCAAGTAGTAGACCAGAGAACATCTGTGTCCCTTGGAAGCAGCGACATGGAAGTGTACCCTCTCCCCTGAGCGTCTCCACCGCTGCCCACCCCAGAGTGGGGCCTTTTCATGATATCCACCAAAGGGCATACAGGTTCTCAGCCTCTGCGCAGCCCATCTTGTTCCTCTCCCTTTTGAAATTTTTTTATTAGATGATACATATAATCTATGATTAAAATGTATGATAAAAGCATAAGTTTTTAAAAATGATTACAGTAAAAAGGCACATTGCCATTAACCCACCCAGAATACTTCCCCTGGCTTCAGGCGCATTTGTCCTGTATTCTTTTTCTTTGGAGACAGCATCTCACTATGTAGCCTAGGCTAGCCCCAAATGTACAGCAATCCTTCTGCCTCAGCCTCCCGAGTGATGAGATTGTAGGGGTATGCCACCACAGCTGGCACTTTTTGGGTTTTTTTGAGCCAAGGTCTCCTATGTAGTTCAGGCTCTCCTTGAACTGTGTAGTCCAGGTTGGTCTCACACTGAGGCAGTTCTGCCTCAGTCTCCCAAGGGCTGTGCCACCATTCCTGGTTTATTCTTGTCACTTTCTGCAGCAGTTCTGAAAGTCTTCATTATGTGAGGTATGACCCAGTATCTGGTGAACGCTGCTGCCGAGTGCCACCCACCTGAAGAGAAGCTCAGAGAAACATGACAGTGCATCCTCATCCACCTTTGCACCACATCTGGCGGCACTGTGTGCCTTCTGACTCTTCCCCAAAGTCAAAATTACCATGCAAGGGAAAAGTGGTGAATGGTTCCAGGACATGCAGGCAGCCACTGCAGTACAACTAAACACCTTCACAAAGGAGGACTTCCAGAACCACCTCAGGAGGCGTAAAGAATGATGGGATAAGTGTATTCTGAGTAAGGAGGGATGTTGTGAAGGAGACTAATGATGACGTGTCTTCCCCTGTACTTTGTTTTTGTTGAGACAAGGTTTCAGTGTGCAATTCAGACTGGCCTTAAACTCACTATGTAGCCCAGGCTGGCCTGAAACTTTCAGTGATCCTCCTACCTCAGCCTCCAAAGTGCAGGGATTACAAGCATGCACCACCATGCCTGGCTTTAATAAAATTTCTGTAATTTAAATATTCACCATATTTTTCCATCACACCTCATACATTATATGAAGTTCAAAAGGCCTACAGTGAAAAGTCTTCCCCTGCCTTTCAGCCACTTAGGGGCCGTCAGTATTGCCCATTCCTTGGGTATCCTTGCACATACATGGTGTATTATATCCCCTCTCCCCACGCCACCACCGCCTCTCTGATAGAGAAGTAGTGGCATCTATTCAGTGCCTACTCACTGTCACTCAGCCACATGTTATGGAATTGCTAGAAAGTTCAGTTACAGTTGTTCTGAAATTGATAGAAGCCTAGTCTAAGACATCTGTGGCAGCCTCCAGTGCCCTCTGACAAGGGCTAATTTGCACTGACCCCTGCCTCACACTTCCACATGGTGCCCCTCTGGTCTACCCAGGTCAGACTCAAGATTGTCACATTTGTCTCCCTCTCCTCAAGCTCCATCAGTGGGTTAAAGCAAAGTGGGTGAGCGAAGTGCTCCCTTCTTGACACCTGCTCCCCACAGTCAAACCTGAATCCTGTTTCCTCAGTTCCTTCTATATCAGTCAAATTTGTCTTGTGTGTGTGTTTTGTTTTGTTTTGTTTTGTTTTGTTTTGTTTTGTTTTGTTTTTTGAGACAGGATCTCTCTATGCAGTTCAGGCTGGCCTTCAGCTCACTTTGTAGCCTAGGCTGGTTTCAAACTCACAGTGATCTTCCTGCCTCAGCCTCCTGAGTGCTGGGATGACAGGCGTGCGCCACCACGTCCGGCTTTTGCCCCACCTGTTTGGCCTGGCCTGGCTTTGTCCTCTATCTGTTTCTTAGATGACCATACTTATTTCTGTCACTTGCATTTCTGCTTTTTCCTTTCTCTAGTCTGTCTTCCACTCAGAATGATCATTTAAGATCGCAAACCTGATCATATGGCTTCCTTTTGGTAGTTTCCCGTTATGGAGATCAAACTAGTAATCACACCCACAGGACCCCTGTGGACCGCCCTTGTGAGCCTCACTGGACCTGTTTAAACTGCATGCAGGTCAGCTGCAGGAACTCACTCCCCACGTCTGCCAGCATCCCAGTGCTGCTGGCTATCTGGAATGCTGCTGTCTTCTCCCAGCCTGTCACTATCACAGACTCATCTTTCAGATATCAGGCTTCACTTCCTCGCCCGCCCACTGCAGACTAGGTCAGCTCCCTGGTCAGAGCTGGCAGCACCATCTTCTCTGCTTGATACTTACTGGGGTTGCCATTTCCATTTAAGTCAGTTAACATTTCTTTAAATTCTTGTTATTTGGTCAGGGATAATTTCTGGCACCTATAAGATATTTTGTAAACTATGAATGGTCTTATATTAAAGGACAGTGAATTTTTAAAATTGGTATTTGTAAATGAAGTTGAACCATGATGGATGATGTCCATGTTTATATGTTTACAAGTAATGAATGGCAGGAGTGGCTTCCTTAGGCCCAGGTGAGCCTAGCCTAGAGACTCCTATGGCCATACCTATTGTGGAGATTAGCGCACAGCACTTCACTGTAAAGACCTAAAATCTGTCTCCAGTGGTATTTTCAGGTGTCTGTGGCATTTCAAACATGCTTATACAAACTGGGTGCTGGGAACAGCACTTCTGATCTGAGGAGAAAAACTTGCCTTTGCATCTTTTTTTTTTAGGCAAGTCTCACTATGTAGTCCAGAGTGGTCTTGAACTCACTATGTAGCCCAGGCTGGCCTCCAACTTGTGGCGATCCTCCTACCTTGGCCTCCCAAATGCCAGGATTACAGGCTTGCACGACCACACCCAGCTTGATGCATCCTAAATATTACTTTGAGACATGTCTGTAGAAATACTTGCTAGCTCTAAGCATGGTGGTACAGCCTGTGATCCTAGCCCTCTGGAGGTGGAGGCAGCCTGGGCTACATAGTAAGACCTTGTCTCAGGGACCAGCCCTGCTGAAATGGAGCAAGGTCCTCTGAGAGACTGCAAACTCCTGAAACATGTCTCCCAGGTCTTTGGCTGAATAGGAGCTTATGTGGTGTCCACTCAACAGAACCTATCTTTGTGTCTGTCTTCTGTCCACAGGAGACCTGTAGGAAGTGTCAGGGCCTCTGGAAAGAACATAACGGCCTCACCTGTGAAGAGCTGGCTGAAAAGGATGACATCAAGTACCGAACCTCTGTGTGAGTAACAGTACAGGCGCCTTGTCAGCCAACCCTGGGGTTGGGTCCCCAGGACCCTGCCTTTAGCAGAAGGGGCAGAACAAGATCAGGTGTTCCAGAGAACTGAGCCTCGTCTCCACATCCTCATCCTCGAGGAGCTCATTCCCGAGTCAGGTGGTGCATATGAAATGCCTGGCACAGTGGCATCTGAGAAGTGTGTGTCCCTCTTCCTTAATTATCTGAAGAAGCAAGCAGAGCATCCTACTTAGACAGGCTGCAGTAGTGCTGCGTGTGTCTCTGTCCTTCCATTCCAGTGGCCTGAGGCAGGAAGATTTGCCCGCCTCTAGAATACAAAGCGTTGCATCAGCAGTAATGATGACACAATTTGTGCCTGCTCCCTACATGGCTTTACAGGTGCTAACTGATTTGAGTACAGTGACTTAAGGCCCTGTATGTACTGCAGGACCCTATTTCTCTTTCCCGCCCCACCCTGGCCCTGCCAGGCTATGCAGCTGATTTTTCTCAGGGGGTCACCCTGAGACCAAAGTTCTTTTATCTCACTCACTGCTTCCCCTTTTGTAAAGAGTGGTATTCTCATCCTTGTCATTGTGCCTGGGTTGTAGCCACATTTATACTCCAGTATAAGAAAGAAGAAAGAGACAGGCCGTGGTGGCACATTCCTGCAATCCCCTCACTTCCGAGGCTGAGGCAGGATGATCACAGTGAGTTCAAGGCCAGCCTGAACTACATATTGAAACCTTGTCTCAAAAAGAAAAGAAAAAAAGAAGCAGACAACTTGCCAGGCAGGCAGTTTTTCTTTTAAGTTATGAGTAATGCAGAAATTATGTGTATCATTTCTGCTCATATCCCACTGGTCTAGACTAAATCACATGGATACAGCCTGCTCTAAAGCAAGGACCATATGTGGCCTTTGCAAGAGTTTTGTCTGACTTACTGCAAAGGGAAAGAAGCGATTGTTATCAGAAGAAGTGGGGAATGATGTTGTGGGCAGGTAGATGCTGTTAGGCAGTCATTCTGCACAGGAGGCAGCCGAGGCAGAGCCCGGGTAACTTCCCCATGGTCACACAAGTAATGAGTAGCATAGCAGAAACTTGAAATCAGGCACATGACTTCATCTGTGCAGTGCATCACAACTTCAGTTGGCAAGATAATGATCCCCAAAGTTGTCCTCCTTTCCTGACAGAAGGGACTTTGCAAATGCATTTAAGGTCATGGACATTGCGATGAGGAGATCATTAAGCTCCAGGACTGAGCAGTGGGCCAGAGATGGTTGCTACAGGGAGCATAGCTGATTTTTCTTCTCTTGCGGTCCTGGAGTTGAACCTAGTACCTTGACGCTGAGGTATATCCTCGGCCCTATTTTATTTTGAGACAAGATCTCACCAAGTTGCACAGGCTGGTTTTAAACTTGAGATCCTCCTGCGTCAAGCCTTCTAGAGTACTGAGGTTATAGACGTGCACCAACACATCTAGCTTCTTACTGCTTTTGAGCAGGGCCTCTGTTCTGCTTCTATCAGTACTGGCCCACTCACCATCTGGGTCACCTAGACACTCAGCACCAAGCCTCTCTCAACCTGGCCACCCTCTAGGTCAACAGTAGGTAGGTCAGAAATAGGAAATTCAGGGGCTGGGGATTTAGCTCAGCGGCACAAGCTCCTGCCTTGCAAGCAGGTAGTCGTGAGTTCAATCCCCAGTACCGATAAAAAGGAAAAAGACAAAAAAAGAAATAGGAAATTCAAATGTGATGTGTTGATTCCAGAATTCAGTCTCTCAAATGTGCCTCTTGATAGAACTGTGGGGTACCAGCGGCGGCTGAAAAGATGAGAAGTATGAAATACAAATAACCTTTATTTTGAGAATGCGGGAAGAGACACCCCCGATCCCCTGGGGCACGGCATCTCCACCCCGGGTCGGCGATCTCTCCGTGGAACACATGGAGTGAGGCACATAAGTAGCCTCAGCTTGAGGGGAACCTAAGGGGGCATTAGGGATGTACAGGTAGCCCATTGGTCTTTGTTTGGTGCCAGAGGTAGATTCCTAAGGGAGGGGGAGATAGGAACTCTTTGGCTTTACCGGCTATAGTATCCGGCCTGGGCCAAAACCCTTTCATATCCCGTCTTATGAAAAGGGGCAAAGATTTCTCTCTTTAACTGCTTCTTGCTGGCTGAGGGCGCTGTACTGGGGTGTAGGGGAATTGACGGGATGACGGTTGATGCCCAGGTAGAAGCTGGTGCCAGGTGTTTTAGCCAGGACAACTTCACTGGTGAATGCACGTATGTTAGACTGGAAAAACAAAGAAACAAGATGTTATGAGGAGACATGGCACTGTCATATTTAAGGATCCAGGTGAGGTAGAGGGAAAGGTGCCTTTGATTTAGACATGTCATTATATCAGGACAACGTTGAGGTAGGATCATTGTCACGGTGAGGTAGAATTCTGAAAATTAAATGTGGGGTTAGGAGGAGTGAAGTTATGAGAGGTGCTTACTTCCCCATCTGAAAGGGTAAAAGTTAAAAGGGTAGGTAGGTAAGGTTTGTCTCTGGTGTGCATGACATTGGAGTCTGTAGGAAATACTGTTAAGAGTCCTGCTGTAAAAATGATCATTAATAGAACGTAAGAAATTAGGAACCAAAGTGGATAACAAAATATGACAACCTGTGAGTCGTGGCCGTGAGGCCTTGGTAAGGCAGAGAGGAGTAGGGAAAGGATGGTTAGATCTAGGGCTAGTGATGTGAAACCAGGATGGCAGTCTAGTAACTTTGATCGCTGTTGAGGTTACCAAGAATATCAGGTATCGGTCGCTGTAACCTGGTTGTAGTCCTTGGAGTGATTTGCTGTAACAGAACTTTAGCAAGTATATCAGCAGTTTCTCTGGTTGTAGGAAAGGCTTTTATGTATCCTGAAAAAGTATAAACAAAGTGAGAAGACAAAACGTATCTATCAGTCTTGACCAGGGTTGCCTGAGAAATTGGTGAATAAGAAAGGAAGGGGGTGGTCTTATATCACTGAGGAGAGGTTTACTAGCAATTTAGGACTGGGACCTGCATGAAGTAGGCCCTGTTTGTAAATGGCATAGGTTGACCTCCAATACCCCATCATAGAGATTGAGGACTTAACATAGCAGCCTGAAAACTCAGGAAGAGCTCCGTACATATGGCCTCTATGTCCACAAATATAGAGAACGTTTTACCTGAGAGTTTAATGTGACTTGGACTCTGAGACGGACACCCACAAAGGGGGCTGTTGTTGCCCTGAACCCCCTCAGTCTTCAGCCACAATTTTTGTCGGTAACAAATCTGGCAGTGTTGGCATTTTAGCATGGCTTACCCACTCTCTGGTGGCTAAGACAGTCCAGCAGCCCTGGGGTAAGATCTCAAGGCCAGGATGGGGCACTCTTTCTTGCCCAATGTCTTTTGCTGCATTTGAGCGTGGTCGGGGGGGGGGGGGGGGCGCAGGCAGTTCTATCTTGTGTAGGTTTGCCTGTGTCAGAACTCCAAGTGTCACAAGTGTTAAAATATGAAAAACCATATTAAGATCTCTATAGGTTTGAAGGTCAAGTTTTGCCTTTTTATTTGGGACTTGGACTACAGTAGAATTAAGTAAGTATGCAGGAGTTTAATATTTAACAGGGTATTTATAACTTTAGTAATGACTTTCCATAAGGAAGCCAAGGTCTAGAGAACTTTAGGAACTGACATGTTATTTATGTCATATATATAAGGGTTTTTTTTTATGGTATTAAAATGTCTAATGACATCTGATTTTTAGAGGATAGCCTGTTTATTAATTTTTAGTCTTTTATTTAGGAGAGAAATCAGCTGTGGTGTTATATCAGCTAGGAAAAGGTTTAAGTTTGGCTTCTGCCACAGTGCTGGCCCTGCTGCCCTTTTTGAGCGGCCTGTCAGAGAACAGGCTTTATCTGGATGGCACACCGCTTTTTTTAGGGTGTCACGTGGAATTAACAAAAAAGGCTTTAGTCTGCCCCCCCCCCTTTTTTTTGGGGGGAGTATTATCTCATTTTAATGGAAACATTTTGCAGTAAACTTAAGAATAAATCTACCAAAACTGATCTAATATTGTCAAATTTTGAACATACTTACTTTTTTTTTTTATCTGTTATTTGAAGTACTATGAGCCAGGACAAATAGTGGTCCACGGCAAAAGGAATTGATAAATATCTCTTAATTTTAGTTGTTAAAACAGATTATTAGTGAAGGCTTTGATTGATAAACAAGGCTGATAAAATTACCAGGAGGCCAGTAACCTTGATTAAATGGTTTAAGATTTGTAATAAAAAAATAGCATCTCTTGAGCGGAATCGAATTGTAAAACCCTTTCACCTCTTCCTTAGTAGAAGTAAATACAGGACACACAACCCAGGTTGCTTTCATGATACATACCTCTGCCCTCCACACCTCTGAGACTTCATAGAGATTCCACATTCCTACCTTCTCCTGGGGTTCATCTCCCACTTCGTGGTGTTTGTGCACCTGATTGGTGTATCCTAGAGTGCCTCCTGCCCTCCTGCTCGCTAGGTTCTATCTGCCGTCGTTCAAGTATAGACCGTGTACTGCTGGTGGGTGGCAGCTGATAAGATCCTTGTCACCTGCCAGTGTTCTGCTATTGGGAAGAAAATAAAAGCATTTTCCAGATCAGTAACTGTGTGTCTGCTGCCAAGAGCTACGTTTATTCACGCTGGTGAGAAGTGACATCTGGAACAGCAGCTGCGGTTAGTCAGCACCTGATTAGGTTTGGGGGGTGCACTGTTCCCCAAGACCTTTAGTAGAGGCCACACAGGATGTGGACAGAATCAGTGCTCTACACCTTAAAGTCTTAGATGGTGGCACCAATCTCAGAAGGTGCCCATGGGACTGTGGTACCATTTTGAGAGGAGGTACTCCAAGCGTTGGTACTTGGATTTCCCCAACAATATACCACTTTTTCTGTTGGCCCGAGAACCAAGGAATCCTACCAATCTCCAGGTATCGAAATTAAGAAC